CTTTATTTTCAATAAATTGTATAAATTAGGTATAAAATTTAGTTTGAAGTGAGGTTTTGGGGTATTCAGGAATGGATTAATTCATTTCCCATTATTTCTTATGGGAAAATTAGTTGCGGAATACGAGTTTTCCGAATACGAGCTGTCTCCAGGAACGGATTAAACTCTTAAACCGAGGTACCACTGTAATCAGCCCCTGTCAGTTTGGCTTCCGGTCCCAAAAAGAGTACCAATGATGCAATTATTAGTCTCCTTGATGTAATCTACTCAGCTCTTGACAGAAATGAGTTTCCGATTGGACTCTTCATTGACCTGAGAAAAGCCTTTGATACTGTTAATCACAACTACCTCTTACTTAAACTCTAGCATTATGGAATCCGAGGCCTTGCCTGGACTATATCCAATCCTATCGTAGTGACAGACAACAATGTGTACCCATCAATGATATAACCTATCCCACTCTACCAATAACCGTTGGCGTGCCACAGGGCAGCATCTTGGGACCTCTCCTGTTTCTTACATATATTAATGATCTGCCTAATGTCTCTAATTTTCTTAAACCTATATTGTTTGCTGATGATACTACCCCTCATCTATTCAGACCCCAACCCACATATACTAAATAATGTAAATAATGAATTTAAAAAAGTCCACTTATGGATGTCAACTAACAAACTAACACTAAACATAGAAAAGACATACTACATCTTATTTGGAAGCAAATCAACAAATGCAATTCAGCTACAGATAGACAATATTAACATCAGTAATAAAAATGATAGAAAGTTTCTTTTCCTATTCCTAGACAAGAGACTCAACTTCAGTACACACATACATCACATAACTAAGAAAGTCTCTAAAACAGTTGGTATGCTCTCCAAAATCAGATATTATGTTCCTAACTCTGCTCTCCTCTATATTATGCACTAACCTATCCCTATCTTAATTATGGTATCTGTGCATGGGGGTCAACCACTGCAAACCACCTCAAGCCCATCATCTCCCAGCAAAAATCAGCTATCAGAATAATAACAAACTCTAATTTCAGACAACACTCAGCCCCCCTTGTTTAAATCCCTAAACATGCTAAACATAAACTCACTCTACACATTCTCTTGTGTCAACTACATTTACAAAATTTTGTTCTTAAAAGCAAACCATACTCTAAAACTCTCCCTGGTGATATAATAAGACCCATTATCACCACACCGGAAATAAATATATCTTTGATATCCCCAGAGTCAAACTTAATCTGTGTAAACATTTTATGCAGATAAAGGGACCTAGTCTATGGAACTCACTCCCTAGTGAATTGGAAAGCTGTCCAACTTTTGCCTCATTCAAAAACCAAACCAAAAAGCACATAATTTAACCTTCATAGTTTCCTACTCTGTGCTTTAAAATTGCTCTGTATCTAGTGTTACCCAATCTTCCAATCTTTATGTACCTAATCCAAACAACTTTACCATTGTGATCATTGCTGTTTTCTTATATGTGCTACGTAGCAATATGCTGTATTGTGCCTCTTAATCTTTGTTAAATTACAATTCAAGCTGTAAATGCAATCAATCTGAGCTACCTATGTGCTTTAATATACTGTACCTACAAATCTCTCTCATCTCATTTTTTGTCTTGCAGTGTACCTGTTATCATTTTATAAATTTTGCTAGTATTTATCTACTTAAAATTTTCTGTTAGATTAAGGACCTGCCAGAAACGTTGCACGTACTAGTGGCCTTACAAGAATGTAATCACTATGTATTTGTGTATATCCTCACAAACCCAATGTACCTTCTTGTATATACAGTATATAAATAAATAAATAAATAAAATATATAAATAAATAGACGCATCTGGGATCATCTTGGCCAAAGGTTCGAACCCTCATCACAGTTCTTGTGGATTTGTGCCCTCTCCCATCAATAGGGAGAGCGTCGGCCAAAAAAAACTTCTTTAAAATATAAATATCTTTTCTCTCTCAATAAGATCTAATCTCTGTGATGAAAAAGCAAAAACGACTATCTATGCCTTTTTGATAACATATACAATTATAAGCTTTATTTGTGAATCTCTATTAATTAAACAATATATCAGAGAGTGTGTTGGGTTCAGTGTTCCATGTGCGAAGAGACATGGGAGATTTTACATAAGTACAGTGGTACCTCGGAATGCGAGTGTCCCTGTATGCAAGTTTTTCGGAAGACGAGTAGGATTTCCTCGGAAAATATGTCTCGGAAGGCGAGGGTTACCTCGGAACGCGAGTTTGTTGATACGTGTACAAGCCGACTGGCGCGTAGTGGCATGGCGATCGCGCCTCAGTTTACCAGTGTCTCGTGTCCAGTGACTATCCCACCTGAATTCTTCACAAGGATTTACAGTTTTTTATCGGTTTTTTGGCCATTTGAGCATAAAAGTTGTCATTATATATCTTGCCATGGGTCTCAAGAAAGCCATTGGTAAGGTTCAACCTAAGAAAATAGCTGTGAGTAGAGGCAATAGAGGATGTCCCTTCTTGATTAAGAAAATGTGTGAAGTATGGGAAGAACTGCAAAGTTTTGTTGAAAAAACTCACCCAGATAAAGCTGTAGCAGGCCGTTGCATTGACCTTTTAAATGATAATGTGATGTCTTACTACAGACAAGTGTTAAAATGTAGGGAAAAACAAGTGTCATTAGACAAATTCTTAGTAAAACAAGCAAGTCCTAGTGGTATGCAGGCAAAATGTGCCAGTGTGTGCATACCAATGAAGTCCTCATTGCCTGATGTGATAATGGAAGGGGACTCCCCTTCCAAACAGTAATTCCTCTCTTCCTCCCACCTCCTCACCATCTTCCATACGCCTACAGCATTCAACAGCAAGGTAAGTAATAACTTGAACATAGTTTTGTAAGTTTATTTAGATGAATTAGGTATAAAAATTTTGTTTGATGTGGGGTTTTTGGGGTAGTCAAGAACGGATTAATTCATTTCCCTTTATTTCTTATGGGGAAATTAGCTTCGGAATGCGAGTTTTCGGAATACGAGGCGTCTCCAGGAACCCATTAAACTCTTAAACTGAGGTATGCCTGTACAGTAAATGGTGTGTATAAGAAGCGAACGCATACTAACGAATAACGATTAATATCTATAGACCAACACTATTGTTCTATGAAGTCCATTTAACTTCCAGACATGTATTTTTCAATAAATCTTAAATGTTTTCTGGCTAGTTATGTTAGATATTATTAGAAATACGCATTCTACTTATTAATATCATAAATTAAATTTGCGATAATTTGAGGAGAGAAGTGCAACGACTCGATCACTGTACACAGAAGGTTGACATGCCAACAAACACTTTCCCGACAACAATATATCTTGGCTAAGTCACTCACAACATTGACACCTGGACCATCAACTTCCTTTGAGGCCACATATTTACTTATTTCATAATTAAAGTAAATTATTTCATAGTAAATATATGTTTTCTCATGTTCTGCATTAAGCACCAACATTATAGTGAATAAATATACCAAATTTCTTCATTACTTAAGTAATGCTAGGAGGCTTTGAATAGCTTTGCGTCATTAGGTGGACAGAATCTCCAATAGATGGGGCGAGAGTCGCGCTATCTCTCGCCGGGGCGAGAGTCGAAACTTAATTTAAAATTGATATATCTTTGTCTTCCAACAAGATATATTTTCTTTGGTGCACTCACAATAGTAAGTATATCTTGGTCTTTTTGAAGGCATTTAATATTTTAGGCTTTATTAGCGTATCTTTGTTAATTACACACTATATTAGCAAGTGCATAGGCTTCTGCACTCCATGACCATCAAGCTACTGAACGCCACTATAAAAACATATGTATCTTCACTTGAGCTTTATATATGTCTATGGTAAAGTATATAAAATGAAGCTTATATTTCTATCTTTCTTAAGACATAACATGTGTGTTTATTAACGAATTTATGTGAAACAAGCATTGTTCTGAGAGAGAGTTATTCCGTTGCTCGATCTGTGCGGGATCGGAGCACGGGATTATAAAAATACACGTATCTTCGCTTTAAATTCAAATATGCCCATGGTAAGGTATTTAAAATGAAACTTATGTTTCTATCTTTCGTGAGACATATAAGACTCTCATGTTTCACATTTCACGATTCTAATTTCACGATTCTACGTGAAATTAGCATTGTTCTTAGATGAATATTGCGGGTTTCCAGCTCTACGAGCGATGAAAAATGAAACTTTTATACAACTACAAATATCTTCGGTTTTACTTTAAATTTTGTCCTGGAAGAGTTTTCACATATAGATCCTGTTTCTGCCGTCCTTCTGACATAAAACGATTTTCAGTTTAACGAGTTATCAAGATGTTTTCAACAATATTCTTGGGGTGTTCACCAATTCCAACATGGGCGACCCCTTTTGGAAACGCAACACAAGGGTTGACCGGAATGATATATGGGTCAGATTCCATTAAGGTTCGGAACAAAGTGAGAAGGGGTCCGTCTAATTACCACAAGCTACCACAAGCTACACAAGCTTCACAAAGCTTCCTGGCAATGCATTAGTAATGAATAAATATGCTATGTTAGGTTAGGTTGACCTAACCCAACCTAACCTAACCTATCCAAACCTAACCTAACCTAACCGACGCTTGGATCGTCGACTTGATTTGGCGTCACCAGCTCTTTATTTTCGTCTAATTTCTTTATAAAAAAATACTTTTTCACATTAAAATTATGTTTTTTCGTGTTGTACATTCAGCACCAACATTATAATGAGTAAATATATCATATTTATTCATTACTAACGTATTGCCAGGAAGCTTAGTGAAGCTTGTGAAGCTTGTGGTAGCTTGTGGTAATCATACGGACCGGTGAGAAGGTGGTGGAGGCCAAAACCGTCAAAGCGTTATATGACAAAGAGTGCTGGGTAGCCCAGGGTCGTAGCAACGGGACACCACAACAAGCGAAGCTCTCATCCTGTAACTGCACTTAAGTAATTACACTCACCAAGTCAGCACTCAGCAAAAGCAGCAGCAGCAGTAGTGCGGGCACTCAGCAACACGTCCCCCGCCACCACCTGCTGATCAATGTTTATGTTCCAGCACAGCGGTGTTCGGATCCCTCGTGCCAGTGTTCGGATCCCTCGGGCAGGTATTTACTATTTGTGCGTGCAGATTCGAGCTATTAGCTCTTGGATCCCGCCTTTCTAACCAATCTGTTTTCCTCTATTATGTCTACTAATATATTTTTTCTCTTACTACACACACACACACACACACACACAGTCTATTTAACACAAGGGGAACACGCACAAGGGGACACAGGTGCACACAGCTGGTAGCTGGTAAGGTGCTCCAGTGTGTAGATATGACAGAGCCCGATAGGCTATGAATCTACACCTGTTGATTGACGGTTGAGAGGCGGGACCAAAGAGCCAGAGCTCAACCCCCGGAGTAGGTGAGTACACACACGCAGCTGGTAGTTACGGTGAGGGGTGAGACCTCCGATTGGCGTGAAGTCACCAGTGGAGTCCCACAGGGCTCTGTACTCGGTCCTATCTTGTTTCTGATATATGTAAATGATCTCCCGGAGGGTATCGATTCATTTCTCTCAATGTTTGCGGACGATGCTAAAATTATGAGAAGGATTAAAACAGAAGAGGACTGTTTGAGGCTTCAAGAAGACCTAGACAAGCTGAAGGAATGGTCGAACAAATGGTTGTTAGAGTTTAACCCAACCAAATGTAATGTAATGAAGATAGGTGTAGGGAGCAGGAGGCCAGATACAAGGTATCATCTGGGAGAGGAAATTCTTCAGGAGTCAGAGAAGGAAAAAGACTTGGGGGTTGATATCACGCCAGACCTGTCTCCTGCAGCACATATCAAGCGGATAACATCAGCGGCATATGCCAGGCTGGCCAGCATACGAACGGCATTCAGAAACTTGTGTAAAGAATCATTCAGAACTTTGTATACCACATATGTCAGGCCAATCCTGGAGTATGCAGCCCCAGCATGGAGTCCATATCTAGTCAAGGATAAGACTAAACTGGAAAAGGTTCAAAGGTTTGCCACCAGACTAGTACCCGAGCTGAGAGGTATGAGCTACGAGGAGAGACTACGGGAATTAAACCTCACTTCGCTGGAAGACAGAAGAGTTAGGGGGGACATGATCACCACATTCAAGATTCTGAAGGGAATTGATAGGGTAGATAAAGACAGTCTATTTAACACAAGGGGAACACGCACAAGGGGACACAGGTGGAAACTGAGTGCCCAAATGAGCCACAGAGATATTAGAAAGAACTTTTTTAGTGTCAGAGTGGTTGACAAATGGAATGCATTAGGGGGTGATGTGGTGGAGGCTGACTCCATACACAGTTTCAAGTGTAGATATGACAGAGCCGATAGGCTCAGGAATCTGTACACCTGTTGATTGACGGTTGAGAGGCGGGACCAAAGAGCCAGAGCTCAACCCCCGCAAACACAACTAGGTGAAACTAGGTGAGTACACACACACACACACACACACACACACACACACACACACACACACACACACACACACACACACACACACACACCACACTCACTCACTCACTCACTCACTCACTCACTCACTCACTCACTCACTCACTCACACACACCTTCCTCTCTCTCCTTCTTCCTCTCTCTCTCTCTCACTTTCTTCTTTATCTGCTCTCTCCCTCTCTCCTTTTTCTATTCTCTCTCTCTCTTCTTCTTCTTCTATCTCATTCTCTTCTCTCTCTTTTCTTCTATCTCTCATTGTCTCCTCCCCTTCTCTCTCTCTTCTCTCTTTCTTTTCTTCCCTCTCTATCTGTATCTTCTCCTTCATCTCTCTCTCTCTCCTTCTTTCTATCTTGTTCTTTCTTCTCTCTCCTTCCCCTCCCCACTCCCCTCTCTCTCTCTCTCTCTCTCTCTCTCTCTCTCTCTCTCTCGTCGTCTTTCTCTACTCTCTCCTTCTTCTCTTTCTATTCTCTCTCTTCTTCTATCCCATGCCCTACTACACTACTAAGTTCAGTATTCACCATGTTATTTGGAATAAGTGGGTTAGCATGTGAGAAAATGAGGATTGTGTCGTCTGCAAATAGAATTGGCCTCAAATGTTGTGTGGTATTTGAAAAATAATTGAAGATCATGAAAGATATGAGAAAGAGGAGCGGACCAAGTATACTGCCCTGCAGAACGCCAATGTTAATTGGGAGAGTGGGAGAAGTTGCATCGTCTACTGAAACATACTACTGCCTGTCTCTGAGATAAGATTGCAAGTACTGAAGAGAGTGACTTCTGACTTCTTAGTGTTGAAGTTTGAGAGGAAGGTTATTGTGGTTAACATTGTAAGAAGCCTTACGTAGGTCAACAAACAGATCTATGGGGTACTCATTTTTGTCAATAGCTGCATGCATTAGGTTAAGCATATTTATAAGAGCATCATTGGTGCTTTTATGGGGCCTGAAGCCATATTGGTTAGAACTGAGAATATTGTGCTTATTGAGAAAGGAATATAGAGCTGTCTGTACATGAGTTTCTCAAAGATTTTGAACAAGGTGGGAACGATTGGTATTGGCTTTAAATTGTTGCTGTAAAACATCCAAATTGGAAAGACTCAGAAAGAAGGATGTCAAACAACCACTTGTATGGGACAAGTATCGAAATCAGTTGACTGGCAGATGATGTTAGTTCGAATACGACTTGGTTTCAGTTCTTAAGTATCCCCTGACAGTTCAGCTTGCATGAGGCTCCAGATGACATGAAGTGAAAAGTTAATGGACAAAGACTCGCTGTATCCATATTTCGCTCTTATATGAAAGTAAAAAAGATAAAGGGAACTAGATACGTATAAGCATTCTCTCCAAAGTTAGATACTATACGTACCTCGACCTGCCTTGGTAACTCTATTATTCGTTCATTTGTCCATATCTCACCTATGGTGCTTACCTATCACTGACTATGGAGTAGTGAAATCTAGCTCTAGGGCCCGCCTCCTAGCCCTTAATATGTTATTATTTGTCAGAGTCTATTCGTTGTAATTAAATGACAAAACCCGACGGCCTTTAAATACCTTCCATATGTTCATTCATTGTGTTCCAGTACAAACCTAGTGGTACGCCTCAAGGGTCTGGTGTGTGTAGGAGTACACGGTGGTAGTAACGGTTGCTGAGGCAAGGTGTTATGTGTTGTGTAATCGCTGTGTTCGAAATGAACCGGGGTTCAGCGTCACGACAACACATTAGTAACACAGCGTCACCGAGACACATTTGTAACACAGCGTCACCAAGACATTCGTAACACAGCATCACCATGACATTCGTAACACAGCGTCACCAAGACATTAGTAACACAGCGTCACCAAGACACATTCGTAACACAGCGTCACCAAGACACATTCGTAACACAGCGTCACCAAGACATTCGTAACACAGCGTCTGGCTCCAGGACGATACGTACACAGTCTCACCCACATCAATATTTGTCATATACTGTAAGTTGCGCTGCTAGGTATGGCGTTCTGTAATAATATTAATAATTGTAATAATAACTTTAATTTAAAATATATACATTAGAACACGGTACGGTGGTTGAACAGATGTTACATACGGTACATATTTAATAAAGCCACTATATATGCGTGCTGAGCGTTCGCGTATAACATTAAATAGTTATGCTCAATTACTGAGAACCATAATGAAGAATTCAACAAAAACAGGAAATAAGTGAACAAATTAATTGTTAAAGAAGCTGATAAATTATATACAGTCATTAGGTGATAATGAGAGGTATCGACCATCTGTGCACTTATTAATATTTACAATCTACAAATATTTTTGTATATTTGCTAAATATTTAAAAATGTTTTATTTTGGATGAGGAAATGCAAGTGAGATTTATTGAATGATGTGAATTAGTTCTGGAGACCTGAAGTTAACACGGTAAGTTAACTCCAAGGTCTCCTGTGGGAAGGGAACTATCAGGAGAGAGTGCCAAGTCATTACGACTATATAACACTTCGAATGGTTCAGGATAAGGATTTGGGATGGGACGGAGGAAATTAAGGAATGGTGCCCAACCCCTTGGACGCTTGGAAATTAAACGCCGACCTGCATGAACCGAGACCGTCGCTGTACCGTCCAGCCCAAGTGGCTGCTGTGGAAGGTGATGTTGGAGGTGATGTTAATTCATGGGTCCATCTCTTCCATTACACGACTTGACAATGGACCAGGACGAGCCATTACACACCATTCTTCCATATTGTATGGGTGGCGGGGGGTCACTCCTGTGGCCTCCTGTAGGCGCCGATGAACATGATGCTGGCAGAAAGATTGTCGTAGACGAGGAACACGAAGGGTCGGTTGCATTGGAAGGAGATGGGAGGCGGAGGTCTGGACCTGGCGAGGGAGATGAAGGCGGTGGCGGCGGCGGCCTGCGTGCCCTCCTCCGTCACCTCCAGGGAGGCCTGGTGCAGGCTCTGGCTCACCACCAGGTCACCGTAGGGCGCCAAGGCCGTCAGGTCGGCGGACTTGCTGAACAACTCACTTATTCCCAGGTCGTACAACACCTGTTGGACAACATGCACAGTATCTCAATTATAATCAAATGCATTAACAAATGGGAAAAAAGTTGACTGGTAAACATCAGATCGAATAGACATTGAAGTAAATTGAAGTTTTTAATATATTTGTTATATGAATTAATTTGATAACAGCATTCAATGATATAAGTGTCAAAGCAGTGAGAATGCTTTTCTTTAATCATTATTTATTCATTAAATTTGGGTTTTGTTCGTGGGTACTCCTTGTGCTTCAGCCAGCTGAACATTTCGGTGATGGATGCGTGCGTGCGTGCGAGCAATTTATACAACCCCCCCCCCCGCGTGGTCTTGTTTATAATGCTCTTATAAGGCTCCAAACGCTCTTATCACTGTTTATGCTATATTATTTGCTGATATATAGCAATATACCCCGCCGCTCTAATTGTAAGCTACAAGTTTTATCTATGGGCTTGTACACTTGGGATTCCAGTCATATATATTATATATCATTCCATATATATATATATATATATATTATATATATATATATATATATATATATATATATATATTATATGCAGAAAATCCGCAAAGAAATGTATATCTCTTCAGCCACCTTCAGGGAGACCCAGAAAACTAACAAGTACAGAGACCAAGAACGTTGTTACAAGTTCGTGCTGATAGGCTCTGAGACTCTGGGCGCCTGGGGTAAATGTGCACTTAAGTTCCTTAAGGAGATGGGTGAGGACCTCATGGGGAAAACTAAAGACACATTAGTGGCCAGTTTCCTGTTCCAGCGCCTCAGTGTCGCGGTTCAGAGGGGAAATGCGTGCTGTATCTTGGGCACCCACTCAACCTCGGAGAGCTGGACGAGGTCTTCGAACACTGGGTGTTATATATATGTGTGTGTTTTCTGCAAACTGTACCAATGCAATAAAATTAATGAAAAAGAATAGGGGGTGATCTTCTTGAGTTACTTTGAGTTGATTTCGGGGCTTTAGTGTCCCCGCGGCCCGGTCCTTGACCAGGCCTCCACCCCCAGGAAGCAGCCCGTGACAGCTGACTAACACCCAGGTACCTATTTATTGCTAGGTAACAGGGATGCAAACAAGCCTGAATGGTCCCCAGGACTATATACAACTGAAAACTCACCCCAGAAGTGACTCGAACCCATACTGCCAGGAGCAACGCAACTGGTATGTACAGGGACGCCTTAATCCGCTTGACCATCACGACCGGACATAAGGAAGTGATAGCCGAAGCTATTTGAACCACTTCCCCGCCGGCACTCGGATGGTAATCTTGGGCATAGCATTTTATCAAATCACCTCATTCTTTGGGGCAACACGTGAGGAACACAAATGCAAACAAGCCTGAATGGTCCCCAGGACTATATACAACTGAAAACTCACACCCCAGAAGTGACTCGAACCCATACTGCCAGGAGCAACGCAACTGGTATGTACAGGGGCGCCTTAATCCGCTTGACCATCACGACCGGACATAAGGAAGTGATAGCCGAAGCTATTTGAACCACTTCCCCGCCGGCACTCGGATGGTAATCTTGGGCATAGCATTTTATCAAATCACCTCATTCTTTGGGGCAACACGTGAGGAACACAAATGCAAACAAGCCTGAATGGTCCCCAGGACTATATACAACTGAAAACTCACACCCCAGAAGTGACTCGAACCCATACTGCCAGGAGCAACGCAACTGGTATGTACAGGGACGCCTTAATCCGCTTGACCATCACGACCGGACATAAGGAAGTGATAGCCGAAGCTATTTGAACCACTTCCGATTGCCGGCGGAGAAGTGGTTCAAATAGCTTGGGCTATCACTTCCTTATGTCCGGTCGTGATGGTCAAGCGGATTAAGGCGTCCCTGTACATACCAGTTGCGTTGCTCCTGGCAGTATGGGTTCGAGTCACTTTTGGGAATGTGAGTTTTCAGTTGTATATAGTCCTGGGGACCATTCAGGCTTGTTTGCATTTGTGTTCCTCACGTGTTGCCCCAAAGAATGAGGTGATTTGATAAAATGCTATGCCCAAGATTACCATCCGAGTGCCGGCGGGGAAGTGGTTTAAATAGCTTCGGCTATCACTTCCTTATGTCCGGTCGTGATGGTCAAGCGGATTAAGGCGTCCCTGTACATACCAGTTACGTTGCTCCTGGCAGTATGGGTTCGAGTCACTTTTGGGGTGTGAGTTTTCAGTTGTATATAGTCCTGGGGACCATTCAGGCTTGTTTGCATTTGTGTTCCTCACGTGTTGCCCCAAAGAATGAGGTGATTTGATAAAATGCTATGCCCAAGATTTCCATCCGAGTGCCGGCGGGGAAGTGGTTCAAATAGCTTCGGCTATCACTTCCTTATGTCCGGTCGTGATGGTCAAGCGGATTAAGGCGTCCCTGTACATACCAGTTGCGTTGCTCCTGGCAGTATGGGTTCGAGTCACTTCTGGGGTGTGAGTTTTCAGTTGTATATAGTCCTGGGGACCATTCAGGCTTGTTTGCATTTGTGTTCCTCACGTGTTGCCCCAAAGAATGAGGTGATTTGATAAAATGCTATGCCCAAGATTACCATCCGAGTGCCGGCGGGGAAGTGGTTCAAATAGCTTCGGCTATCACTTCCTTATGTCCGGTCGTGATGGTCAAGCGGATTAAGGCGTCCCTGTACATACCAGTTGCGTTGCTCCTGGCAGTATGGGTTCGAGTCACTTCTGGGGTGTGAGTTTTCAGTTGTATATAGTCCTGGGGACCATTCAGGCTTGTTTGCATTTGTGTTCCTCACGTGTTGCCCCAAAGAATGAGGTGATTTGATAAAATGCTATGCCCAAGATTACCATCCGAGTGCCGGCGGGGAAGTGGTTCAAATAGCTTCGGCTATCACTTCCTTATGTCCGGTCGTGATGGTCAAGCGGATTAAGGCGTCCCTGTACATACCAGTTGCGTTGCTCCTGGCAGTATGGGTTCGAGTCACTTCTGGGGTGTGAGTTTTCAGTTATATATATATATATATATATATATATATATATATATATATATATATATATATATATATATATATATATATATATATATATATATATATATATATATATGCAGAATACCCACATGTGAAAAACAGAAAATGCTTAAAGCGTTTTCGGCTAATTCGCCTTCATCAAAGCAAAGTAGAATCAAACTTGGTTTGTTTGATTCTACTTTGCTCTGATGAAGGCGAATTAGCAGAAAACGCGTTAAGCATTTTCTGTTTTTCACATGTGGTTATTCTGCATACTTGGATCAGTGTTTTTGTGATCATTGTTGCATATATATATATATATATATATATATATATATATATATATATATATATATATATATATATAGAACGCACTTCTCGGCCTACTATTCAAGGCCCGATTTGCCTTATAAGCCAAGTTTTCCTGAATTAACATATTTTTTATAATTTTTTTCTTATGAAATGATAAAGCTACCCATTTCATTATGTATGAGGTCAATTTTATTTTATTGGAGTTAAAATTAACGTAGATATATGACCGAACCTAACCAACCCTACCTAACCTAACCTAACCTATCTTTATAGGTTAGGTTAGGATAGGTAGCCGAAAAAGTTAGGTTAGGTTAGGTTAGGTAGGTTAGGTAGTCGAAAAACAATTAATTCATGAAAACTTGGCTTATTAGGCAAATCGGGCCTTGCATAGTAGACTGAGAAGTGCGTTCTGGCTACTAGGTACGACATATATATATATATATATATATATATATATATATATATATATATATATATATATATATATATATATATATATATATATATATATATATATATATATATTCCAAATGACTGCAAACAGTCCAAATGGGATAGCCCCATAGTGGAGAACATCGCCACATCATTGCTGGAGGCAGCTTTCAGGAAAGACAAAGCGCGTCTTCTAGCTGTACAAGCGCCCCATGCCGGGGACTTCCTGTTGGCAGTCCCTAATTCCGCCTTGGGCACCCGCCTGGACCATCGGACCCTAAGTATTGGTGTTGCTCTGCGCCTTGCCGCCCCTATCTCCACCGAGCACCGGTGTATTTGCGGCCATGCACGGGCAGACCAATACGGCAGCCATGGTCTCATCTGTCGTAAGACACAGGGAAAGATTGCCAGACATGAAGCAGTCAATGACATCATCAAGAGAAGTTTGGCTTCAGCTGGGTGTCCAGCACAAAGGGAACCTCAGTTGTGCAGGTCTGACAACAGCCAAAAACGCCCAGATGGAGTCACCCTGCAGCCGTGGAGGGAAGGTAAACAGGTCGTGTGGGACTACACGTGTGCATCTACATTGGCTAATACCTATCTACCTTACAGCGCAGCTGAGGGAGGCGGGGCGGCCACCTTCAGGGACACCCAGAAAACTAACAAGTACAGGGACCTAGAACGTTGTTACAGGTTCGTGACAATAGGCTCTGAGACTCTGGGCGCCTGGGGTAAATGTGCACTTAAATTCCTGAAGGAGCTGGGCGAGGAACTCATTGGGAAGACTAGAGACCCAAGAGCGGCCAGTTTTATGTTTCAGCGCCTCAGTGTCGCTGTTCAGAGGGGAAATGCGTGCTGTATCTTGGGTACGCACCCGACCCCCGAGGAACTGGACGAGGTCTTCGAACACTGATTGGTATATTGTTATATAAGTGTGTGTTTTCTGTAAACTGTAGCATTACAATAAAATCAAATAAAAACACAAAATAATAGGGGTGGTAGGAGAGGAAAAGATTAAAGTATTCAGTGAGAATCCACAAGGTCTTCTCTGAACACTATTTATTTTCTTCTTCCTTGAGGATGTGGGTCCCTTTAATTAAACCAGTGGTGGTACCCCTATATATATTTTAAATATATTATATATATATATATATATATATTTCGGCTGAAGTGCCGAATTTGGTAACGTGCCTCGTTACCCTTTGTAATTTAGTTTAGATGATTAACAATGCATAAACAACAGGGCTCCATCAAGGAGCATATAATCTCCTCACACAACCAGACCATCACCAGAGAAATCTTAACAAGCAACACATAAATTATTGACATATACAGCGACAACAGGAGACTCGACATCAGCGAGGCCCTACACATAAAAAAGTCAAAACGAGCAATCAACAGCCCATTAACACATACTTACTTTCGACGCACTTCAAGAACCCGAACCAACATGGAAGCAATTAGATAAAATATTCAATGTACCCATTGATTCATGTTCTATCACCTCACCCCAAAAACGAATATAAAAATTAACAGAGTATGTAAAATTGTCTTTGAAAATGTAAGAAGTGTCTTGCGAAATGCTTCTAGGCATCATACTATAAATAAAGTTTAAAAATGAACTTTGGAGAGTTAATTTTTGAAATTCCCTCGACAGAGAAGAAAAACATAAGAAATATTGAGAATATAGAATCATTCTGTGTTATTATATAGAATCGTCTATATAATGACACAGACTGTAACATAACCAGAATTCATATAACTATCACCTCACCATAAAGCGATAAAATAAAACTGATGAAGTTGCATTTCAGACTGCAATATGGTGGGTGCGCGGCAGCACAAGGGGGGGGGGGGAAGCTACTATCAAGATGAAAGTACGTATTTCTACGTTTAAATAAAGTACAGGCTAGATCATTTTTAATTATGACGAGAGTTCCATATATTGGGTCCTTTTTTAGTTGCATGACGTGCTTGGAATCTTTATCTTGTCTGACTCTGGGAATAACAGAGAGAGATTGACTTTTAGTGTTCATGGGCTCTATTGCATCTGTCCAGAAAGAGTTACAGAAGAGGATTAGAATTTAGGAATAAGGTTTTATAAGTGTAAATAGCACAAGGGAAAGTGTGGAGTGTTTTGTTTAGCATGTTCAGGGATTTAAACAGGTGGGCTGCGTGTTGTCTGAAGACAGAGTTTGTTATAACTCCGATAGCTGATTTTTGTTGGGTGATGATGGGCTTGAGTTAATATACCGTGGTTAAACCCCATACACAGATACCGTATGTAAGAGATTGATTAGTGAGTACTGAAAAGACATCTGAGTTTTGAGAATTATGGTATATGGCTGTACACCTGTTCAACCAGGCCACATATGTAATGACTTATATGACTGACTGAATGACATATATAACGCTTCTTAATGTAAACTAACCCGCTTGAGGTTGTCCTTGAGGGCGAAGTCCACTTTGAATCTGGGCACCTCCACTGTCACCTGCCGGGGTGACATGTCACCGACGGCGGAGCGAAGAGCAGCGGGGGTGAGGCGGGACAGGAGGCCGTCCAGGCCCAGGTGTGGACTGGCCAGGTGTGGTTGGCCCAAGTGTGGACTGGCCAGGTGTGGAGCGAGGTCAGGCAAGAGGAGGAACATGGACCAGCTGCCACCAGAGTAGGGCAGCTCCAAGACACTCGCCCCCAGCACACTGGACTCTCCTGTTCAGAACAACTTGGAAGTTGTGTCTCAAAGCTACAGCTGCATTGTTTATTTATACAATAGTTATATGTATATATTATACATGCATACATATGTATATATGTAAGTTTGAATAAGTAACAGGTTCTTACTAATACACTGTATGAGAAAATCCGTAGGAGTCGTGATAAGGGTTCGAACCAGCGCGGTGAGTGTTCCCCACGCACACACCTTAGCCCACTAGGCCACGACATGGTTAATGTAGTTGACTAGGGCGTGGGCCAGGGTACACCCGCCGCATGGGTTCGAATCCTCAACACAGCTCTGACGGATTTTCTCACTCACACATCTGAATATAATATAACTCTCTGAAAATAGTGCACATGTGTGTTTACTGGTGTCATGTGTGTGTGTTTACCTGGTGTCATGTGTGTGTTTACCTGGTGTCATGTGTGTGTTTACCTGGTGTCATGTGTGTGTTTACCTGGTGTCATGTGTGTGTTTACCTGGTGTCATGTGTGTGTTTACCTGGTATCATGTGTGTGTTTACTGGTGTCATGTGTGTGTTTACTGGTGTCATGTGTGTGTTTACCTGGTGTCATGTGTGTGTTTACTGGTGTCATGTGTGTGTTTACCTGGTGTCATGTGTGTGTTTACTGGTGTCATGTGTGTGTTTACCTGGTGTCATGTGTGTGTTTACTGGTGTCATGTGAGTGTTTACTGGTGTCATGTGTGTGTTTACCTGGTGTCATGTGTGTGTTTACCTGGTGCCATGTGTGTGTGTTTACTGGTGTCATGTGTGTGTTTACTGGTGTCATGTGTGTGTTTACCTGGTGCCATGTGTGTGTTTACTGGTGTCATGTGTGTGTTTACTGGTGTCATGTGTGTGTTTACTGGTGTCATGTGTGTGTTTACCTGGTGTCATGTGTGTGTTTACCTGGTGCCATGTGTGTGTGTTTACTGGTGTCATGCGTGTGTTTACCTGGTGTCATGTGTGTGTTTACCTGGTGCCATGTGTGTGTGTTTACTGGTGTCATGTGTGTGTTTACTGGTGTCATGTGTGTGTTTACCTGGTGCCATGTATGTGTTTACTGGTGTCATGTGTGTGTTTACTGGTGTCATGTGTGTGTTTACTGGTGTCATGTGTGTGTTTACCTGGTGTCATGTGTGTGTTTACTGGTGTCATGTGTGTGTTTACCTGGTGTCATGTGAGTGTTTACCTGGTGTCATGTGTGTGTTTACCTGGTGTCATGTGTGTGTTTACTGGTGTCATGTGTGTGTTTACCTGGTGTCATGTGAGTGTTTACTGGTGTCATGTGTGTGTTTACCTGGTGTCATGTGAGTGTTTACTGGTGTCATGTGTGTGTTTACTGGTGTCATGTGTGTGTTTACTGGTGTCATGTGAGTGTTTACTGGTGTCATGTGTGTGTTTACCTGGTGTCATGTGTGTGTTTACCTGTTGTCATGTGTGTGTTTACCTGGTGTCATGTGTGTGTTTACCTGGTGTCATGTGTGTGTTTACCTGGTGTCATTGTGTTTACCTGGTGTCATTGTGTTTACTGGTGTCATGTGTGTGTTTACCTGGTGTCATGTGTGTGTTTACTGGTGTCATGTGTGTGTTTACCTGGTGTCATGTGTGTGTTTACCTGGTGTCATGTGTGTGTTTACCTGGTGTCATGTGTGTGTTTACTTGGTGTCATGTGTGTGTTTACCTGGTGTCATGTGTGTGTTTACTGGTGTCATGTGTGTGTTTACTGGTGTCATGTGTGTGTTTACCTGGTGTCATGTGTGTGTTTACTTGGTGCCATGTGTGTGTTTACCTGGTGTCATGTGTGTGTTTACTGGTGTCATGTGTGTGTTTACCTGGTGTCATGTGTGTGTTTACTGGTGTCATGTGTGTGTTTACCTGGTGTCATGTGTGTGTTTACTGGTGTCATGTGTGTGTTTACCTGGTGCCATGTGTGTGTTTACCTGGTGCCATGTGTGTGTTTACCTGGTGCCATGTGTGTGTTTACCTGGTGCCATGTGTGTGTTTACCTGGTGCCATGTGTGTGTTTACCTGGTGTCATGTGTGTGTTTACCTGGTGTCATGTGTGTGTTTACTGGTGTCATGTGTGTTTACTGGTGTCATGTGTGTGTGTTTACCTGGTGTCATGTGAGTGTTTACTGGTGTCATGTGTGTGTTTACCTGGTGTCATGTGTGTGTTTACTGGTGTCATGTGTGTGTTTACCTGGTGTCATGTGTGTGTTTACCTGGTGTCATGTGTGTGTTTACCTGGTGCCATGTGTGTGTTTACTGGTGTCATGTGTGTGTTTACTGGTGTCATATGTGTGTTTACTGGTGTCATGTGTGTGTTTACTGGTGTCATGTGTGTGTTTACTGGTGTCATGTGTGTGTGTTTACCTGGTGCCATGTGAGTGTTTACTGGTGTCATGTGTGTGTTTACTGGTGTCATGTGTGTGTTTACTGGTGTCATGTGTGTGTTTACCTGGTGTCATGTGTGTGTTTTCCTGGTGTCATGTGTGTGTTTACCTGGTGTCATGTGTGTGTTTACTGGTGTCATGTGTGTGTTTACCTGGTGTCATGTGTGTGTTTACTGGTGTCATGTGTGTGTTTACCTGGTGCCATGTGTGTGTTTACTGGTGTCATGTGTGTGTTTACCTGGTGTCATGTGTGTGTTTACCTGGTGTCATGTGTGTGTTTACCTGGTGCCATGTGTGTGTTTACTGGTGTCATGTGTGTGTGTTTACCTGGTGTCATGTGTGTGTTTACCTGGTGTCATGTGTGTGTTTACTGGTGTCATGTGTGTGTTTACTGGTGTCATGTGTGTGTTTACTGGTGTCATGTGTGTGTTTACTGGTGCCATGTGTGTGTTTACCTGGTGTCATGTGTGTGTTTACCTGGTGTCAGGTGTGTGTTTACCTGGTGTCATGTGTGTGTTTACTGGTGTCAGGTGTGTGTTTACCTGGTGCCATGTGTGTGTTTACCTGGTGTCATGTGTGTTTTTACTGTTTTGGATGGCAGGTAGGGAGTGACGGGTGTGGATGGCAGGTATGGACAGGTGTGGATGGCAGGCAGTGAGTGACAGGTGTGGATGGCAGACAGTGAGTGACAGGTGTGGATGGCAGGCAGGTAGTGACGGGTGTGGATAACAGGCAGGTAGTGACAGGTGTGGATAACAGGCAGGTAGTGACAGGTGTGGATAACAGGCAGGTAGTGACAGGTGTGAATGACAGATAGTGAGTGACGGGTGTGGATAACAGGCAGGTAGTGACGGGTGTGGATGACAGGCAGGTAGTGACAGGTGTGGATAACAGGCAGGTAGTGACAGGTGTGGATAACAGGCAGGTAGTGACAGGTGTGGATAACAGGCAGGTAGTGACAGGTGTGGATAACAGGCAGGTAGTGACAGGTGTGGATAACAGGCAGGTAGTGACGGGTGTGGATAACAGGCAGGTAGTGACAGGTGTGGATAACAGGCAGGTAGTGACGGGTGTGGATAACAGGCAGGTAGTGACAGGTGTGGATAACAGGCAGGTAGTGACAGGTGTGGATAATAGGCAGGTAGTGACAGGTGTGGATAACAGGCAGGTAGTGACAGGTGTGGATAACAGGCAGGTAGTGACGGGTGTGGATAACAGGCAGGTAGTGACAGGTGTGGATAACAGGCAGGTAGTGACAGGTGTGGATAACAGGCAGGTAGTGACGGGTGTGGATAACAGGCAGGTAGTGACAGGTGTGGATAACAGGCAGGTAGTGACAGGTGTGGATGGCAGGCAGTGAGTGACAGGTGTGGATAACAGGCAGGTAGTGACGGGTGTGGATAACAGGCAGGTAGTGACGGGTGTGGATAACAGGCAGGTAGTGACAGGTGTGGATAACAGGCAGGTAGTGACAGGTGTGGATAACAGGCAGGTAGTGACAGGTGTGGATAACAGGCAGGTAGTGACAGGTGTGGATAACAGGCAGGTAGTGACGGGTGTGGATAACAGGCAGGTAGTGACAGGTGTGGATAACAGGCAGGTAGTGACGGGTGTGGATGACAGGCAGGTAGTGACGGGTGTGGATAACAGGCAGGTAGTGACGGGTGTGGATGACAGGCAGGTAGTGACGGGTGTGGATAACAGGCAGGTAGTGACGGGTGTGGATGACAGGCAGGTAGTGACAGGTGTGGATAACAGGCAGGTAGTGACAGGTGTGGATAACAGGCAGGTAGTGACGGGTGTGGATAACAGGCAGGTAGTGACGGGTGTGGATGACAGGCAGGTAGTGACGGGTGTGGATAACAGGCAGGTAGTGACAGGTGTGGATAACAGGCAGGTAGTGACGGGTGTGGATGACAGGCAGGTAGTGACGGGTGTGGATGACAGGCAGGTAGTGACGGGTGTGGATAACAGGCAGGTAGTGACAGGTGTGGATAACAGGCAGGTAGTGACAGGTGTGGACGAAGGTGTGGAGTGAGACAATGTACACCACACCTACCGTATCTGAGCCTAGTAGACAGGACCATGGTGGGTACGTGGGTGAACCGGTGCAGGTGGGTGAAGAACCTAGCGAGGGCGGTGTCGGGGACGGGGAACCGCTCCACCCAGGTGCCCCTGAACGCCGCGGCGCTCACTAGCACCATCAGGGCGTTCTGTAGGTCGTCAGGCTGCACCAGATTCCCCAGGCGACCTTGCGTCCACTCAGACACCATGCGGTTGATCCCGGCAGCTGCCTCACGGTACTGTGAAGAGGTGAGGACACGTGGGTCACTATAGGTACTGTGGGGCAGGTGAGGACACGTGGGCCACTATAGATACTGCAGGTGAGGACACGTGGGTCACTATAGGTACTGTGGGGAAGGTGAGGACACGTGGGTCACTATTAGTACTGTGGGGCAGGTGAGGACACGTGGGTCACTATTGGTACTGTGGGGCAGGTGAGGACACGTTTTTTTATTAATACATTAGGTACATCTGCATTTGTGCAGCTACCCTAGACTATATGAAGGGGAGTACAGTGTGTCAAAAAGCTAGCTACGTGATGCTAAAAAATCCCCATCACACAGGATGGTTAGTCATACAGAGGCATGTGATAAGTAGTCTGCACTGGCAGACTCTGGGTGCATTATGAGGATATCATCAACACAAGAGTGAATAAGGTAGCAGTGATACTAAAAGTCCCCATCTCGCAGGATGGTTAGTCATACAGGGCCATATGTTCAGTAGCCTGCACTGGCAAATTTTGGGTGCAATATGAGGATATCTTCAAGAACACGAGAGTGAATAAAGTAATTGCAAAGCTCCAGGTACCTCATGCCAACGGGTCTGAAAGGTCTAATAACTGGGCATTCGGTGATGTAGTGTGGGAGATCATGCCGCAGTTCCTGCTCACAGAGTTTGCACCTGGAGTGCTCAGGATTGGGAGATCCGTCACCTGTAGCCACCTGCCACAGGTAACGGTAACCCAACCTGATCCTGGCAACCACTGTGTCGCACAGTCTGGTGGACGTTTTGTGCTGCCCATAGATATAGGTTTCAGATCTGAACAAATCATAGCTTTTTATACTGGTGCTTTCAGGTCGTTGGGAGTCAGTAATTTCTTTCCTATCAGACCTGAGTGTTTGGACCAATATAGTTTTGACAGCAGAGATGGGGATACCTAGATCTAATTCAACTTCATCTTTGTTACACGCTAATTTGGCTGCAATGTCTGTCTCATTATGATGGGTTATATTCATATGTGATGGTATCCATACAAAGAATATTCGAGACCCTTTACTCTGTGCAGCGATTAGGTCATTTATAATTGGTAGTATGAGGTTCTTGCTGTCGATCTTCCAGGAGAAGTTTTCGATTGCTTGAAGAGCAGACTTTGAATCACAAAATATTATTCCTCCTCCAATGTTTTTTAATGTACTGGTAGCTAGTTGTAATGCTGCTAGTTCTGCTTGTGTGGAGGTCAGCCAGTTGTTTAACCTGACAGCACTAAATAATTTGTCTCTGAGCAATGCAGGAGATGTAGGGTCTCTCATGACTTTAAGGCAAAAGGTGGTGTTGACTTGCATGATTCTCTCTAGTATGGTTGGAAGTTTCAGTTCTTCCCTCATGTTGATGATTCTTGTGCATCTTGGGGCACCAAGAATTATCCTCATGGCCTCATTCTGTACTACTTCAACTTTGTCCAACACAGAGGAGGGGAAATTAAGTGCAAAGCACTATAATCAACGAGAGATCTAACAAACATCATATAGAATAGTCTAGCATATTTAATATTGATACCAATACTCTTACCAGTAAGTGTTTTCAGTGGTTTTAGTCTTTCTTTTAACCTATGGTGAAGATCGTTTACAATGTCACTGTTAATACCAACTCCAAGGTATTTGTGCTGCCTACACGTTTCAATGTTCTGGTTGTTGACCTTGAAAGTTATTGGGACATGAGTTTTCTCTTGGGGATGGAGAACTCTGGATTTAGTTATAGAGATAACAAAACAACCTTCAATGTTTTAGCAGCGAGTGAATCCAGTAGAGCTTGCAGTCTAGTTTGGGTATTTGGAACAATGCATATGTCATCGGCATAAATGATGACGGCTTCGTCAGGTAGTGTGGGAATATCATTAGTTAATTTGTGCATCAGAACATTGTACAGTGTAGGACTTAGCACTCCACCCTGGGGTGTACCCAACTCAAAGGGTGCACAAAGTTTACTTTTGACACCCTTGAAAAGGACTGAGGCTGTTCTGTTACTCAGGTAACCCCTGAGCCATGTCAACAGTCTTCCCTTAACTCCAAAAGAGGCTAGTTGTTCTAAGACTATTTCTCTATTTGCTGTATCAAAAGCAGTTTGGAGATCAATAAATGCCGCCTGAGAGCTTGGTCCCTCTCTAATAAAATATTCAGCAAAGCAAGTTTGTGTTTCTTCCAGGAAGGAAACCATACAGGTTAGGGGCAAGGTGGGGCTTAATTTGAAACATTAGTCTGTCGAGTATAATTCTCTCAAGAACTTTATACATACACGACGCCAGAGAAATGTGTGATTTTTTGTGAATTAGGCTTGGGTATGGGTATTATGAGTCCCTGTATCCAGCGGTCAGGTAAGACACCCTGCCTTAGCCTTTGATTGAACAATTCTAGCAAAGGGCTATTTGGCAGCTCAGCAAGTACTCTCATGGGGCCAGATTCACGAAAGCACTTACGAACCTGTACATCTTTTCTCAATCTTTGGCGGCTTTGTTTACAATTATTAAACAGTTAATGAGCTCCGAAGCACGAGGAGGCTGTTTATAACAATAACAACAGTTGATTGGCAAGTTTTCATGATTGCAAACTGTTTAATAAATGTAACCAAAGCCATCAAAGATTGAGGAAAGATGTAAAGGTTCGTAAGTGCTTGCGTAAGTGCTTTCGTGAATCTGGACCATGGTATTGTATGTGATGCCATCCTCTCCAGGAGAGGTAGCCTTACCTTTCTTGAGTGCATTGTTAATTTCAAAGGAGGTTATGCCATAGTTATCATCAGGCCCTATTTCACTACAGGCAATTTCAATATTGAAGTTACGATTTATTTTGGTACTAGCCAGATGGTGTTGTACATCTAGGGGCAGGCTGCTTATACTGGCAGTGCTTGCATACTGCTGAAGCAGCATGTCGGCATAGTCTACAGGTGAATGGTGATCATGTTGACGACTGCTAGCATGAGAGATCTTTTTAATTTTATTCCACATTTGGGATGAGGATGTTGCATGATTGATGCCTTGCAAAAACTGTTCCCAGTGCTGGTTATACACTTGTTCCTTTAGCTCACGGTACTGTGGGCAGGTGAGGACGCACGGGTTACTATACGCGACCTACTTACTCACGGTACTGTGGGCAGGTGAGGACGCACGGGTCACTATACGCGACCTACTTACTCACGGTACTGTGGGCAGGTGAGGACGCATGGGTCACTATACGCGACCTACTTACTCACGGTACTGTGGGCAGGTGAGGACGCACGGGTCACTATACGCGACCTACTTACGCACGGTACTGTGGGCAGGTGAGGACGCACGGGTTACTATACGCGACCTACTTACTCACGGTACTGTGGGCAGGTGAGGACGCACGGGTTACTATACGCGACCTACTTACTCACGGTACTGTGGGCAGGTGAGGACGCACGGGTTACTATACGCGACCTACTTACTCACGGTACTGTGGGCAGGTGAGGACGCACGGGTTACTATACGCGACCTACTTACTCACGGTACTGTGGGCAGGTGAGGACGCACGGGTTACTATACGCGACCTACTTACTCACGGTACTGTGGGCAGGTGAGGACGCACGGGTTACTATACGCGACCTACTTACTCACGGTACTGTGGGCAGGTGAGGACGCACGGGTTACTATACGCGACCTACTTACTCACGGTACTGTGGGCAGGTGAGGACGCACGGGTTACTATACGCGACCTACTTACTCACGGTACTGTGGGCAGGTGAGGACGCACGGGTTACTATACGCGACCTACTTACTCACGGTACTGTGGGCAGGTGAGGACGCACGGGTTACTATACGCGACCTACTTACTCACGGTACTGTGGGCAGGTGAGGACGCACGGGTTACTATACGCGACCTACTTACTCACGGTACTGTGGGCAGGTGAGGAGCATGAGTCACTATACCCAACCTACTTATTCACTTTTATATTAAATATGACAAATAATTACGAACATTCCTGACAAGAACTGTTCCATTATCATGTGGACGTGCAATATTGTTTTGATCATAGCATAACCATAATGTTCAATTGCAGGTTGTCGTATGCTGTGTGCAGCATATGCTGTGAACACCATATCCTCATTCTTTATCCGGTAAAGTAGACAACTTAACAGCTAAAGTAGACAATTTACCAAGTAAAGCTGGCGACTTACCAAGCAAAGTTGACAACTTAACAGCTAAAGTAGACAACTTAGCACCGTCCAATTTCCGATGCACAGAAATTACTGAGCAATATGAATCTTACATATAAGAACATACATAAGATCCACAATTAAAAGCATAAAATCCTAAGTAACATTGTCAAAAAAAATACAAGAGAGTTAGCATGTTCAACAGCAGCGGCCTTGGATGGGTACGAGAGACAAAATTGAACTCTAGCCTAAGATAAGAACTGTAGCCTAAGATTTGAACTGCCACTATGGAAGTCAACCAACAAACTCACACTATACATAGAAAGGACCTACTACATCTTATTTAGAAGCAAATCAATAAATGCAATTCAGCTTCAGATAGACAATGTTAAACATCAGCAATAAAAATGATGGAAAGTTCCTTGGGCTATACTTAGACAAGAGACTCAACTTCAGCACCCACATACAACACATAACTAAGAAAGTTTCTAAAACAGTTGGTATACTCCCTAAGATCAGATATTATGTACCTAACTCTGCTCTCATCTCTCTATATTATGCACTTATCTATCTCTATCTTACTTATGGTATCTGTGCATGGGGTTCAACCTCTGCAAACTACCTCAAGCCCATCATCACCCAGCAAAAATCTGCTATCAGAACAATAACAAACTCGGCTTTCAGACAACACATAGCTACCCTGTTTAAATCACTAACCATAAATTCACTCCACACATTCTCTTGTGTCAATTACATTTACAAATCCCTTTTCTTACGTGCAAACCCTGGTCTGAAACTCTTCCTGGACAGATGTAATAGAATACACAATCACCATACCAACCATAACTATCTCTTTGATACTCCCAGAGTCAAACTTAATCTGTATAAGCACTATGCAAATAAAGGGACCTAGTCTATGGAACTCACTCCCTAACGAATTGAAAAGCTGTCCAACTTTTGCCTTATTCAAAAATAAAACCAAAAGGTACCTAATTTCATCTTCATAGTTTCCTACCTAGTACTTTAAACTCGCTCACTATCCAGTGCAAGTTTATAATCTGTATCTGAATCTGCATCCACTGTATCTGTATTTTGTGTTACCCAAGCCCCCAATCTATGTACCTAAGCCATATAACTTTACCATTGTATGCATTGATATCTTTATCATGATTGTTATATTGAACACATATTGTGTGCTACGCAATCCCCCAATATATATACCTAAGCCTTACAACTTTACCATTAAACATTGCTGTCATCTTATATGTGCTATCAGTGTGTTTTAATGTACTTTAATATACCTGCTAATCTCTCTCAAATTTTCATACAATGTACTGTTAACATTTTATCAATTTTGCTAGAAATTACCAACTTAATATTAAATGTAAGATTAACAACCTGCCCGAAACGCTGTGCGTACTAGTGGAATTACAAGCTTTGTATGGATACCCTCACACATAAATATAACCCATCATAATGAGACAGACATTGCAGCCAAATTTGCGTGCAACAAAGATGAAGTTGAATTAGATCTAGGTATCCCCATCTCTACTATCAAAACTATATTGGTCTAAACTCTCGGGTTTGATAGGAAAGTAATTACTGACACCCAACGACCTGAAACTTTTCGTACTAGTATAAAAAACTATGATTTGATCAGATCTGAAACCTATATCTATGAGCACCACAAAACGTCCACCAGACTGTGCGACACAGTGGTTGCCAGGATCAGGTTGGGTTACCGTTACCTGTGGCAGGTGGCTGCAGGTGACGGATCTCCCAATCCTGAGCACTCCAGTTGCAAACTCTGTGAGCAGGAACTGCGGCATGATCTCCCACACTACATCACCGAATGCCCAGTTATTAGACCTTTCAGACCAGTTGGCATGAGGTATCTGGAGCTTTGCAATTACTTTATTCACTTTCGTATTCTTGAAGATATCCTCAGTGTACCGAGAATTTGCCAGTGCAGGCTACTAAACATATGGCCCTGTATGACTAAGCATCCTGCGAGATGGGGACTATTATTACCACTGCTACCTTATTCACTCTTGTGTTGATGATATCCTCACACTGCATCAAGAGTCTGCTAGTGCAGGCTGCCTATCACATTACTGTATGACTAACCATCCTGTGTGATGGGAATTTTTTAGCATCACCTAGTTAGCTTTTTTGACACACTGTACTCCACTTCATATAGTCTAGGGTAGCTGCACTAATGTAGATGTACCTCAAGTATTAATAATAATAAAAAAAACAAGAATGTAAACATCATGCCATGTACTCTCATAAACCCAATGTAACTTCTTGTAAATAAATAAATAAATAAATAAATAAATAAATAAATAAATAAATAAATAAATAAATAAATAAATAAATAAGTCATCTGTAGCCTAAGGTAAGAACTGTAGCCTAAGATAAGAACTGTTGTCTAAAACAGGAACTATAGCCTAAGTGTTGTGAGTAAATATTATGATCTAGCAGGAGGAGATAGTTAAATCTAATTCTGACAGTTTAAATGCGGATATAATATAAATAGTTGCGTTGAGTGCAGCAGAGTCGTAAGACGAAGCTCAGAAGCTGAGGCCCGGCCCTGCAGGAGCAATTAGGTGAGGACATATGCGTAAATCATTTTGATAATATTAAAAATAAACTGTAATCTCCTGGTCACACCGGGGATGAAAATTTCAAGTATATGGCACAACGTACTTGGAGAAAGTCTACAGTACTGAGCTCGTCAGTGAGACGGTCGGCGACGCACTGGTTCAGGACCAGTCGAGGGTCCACGAAGACTCGGTTGACTACCGCTAGGCTGCTGTTCCCGGCATCCTCGCCCCACCTGTCAAGTTCAAGTTTTTTGAGACCTTACATAATATTCAGCTGTGAAGGAATGCAACTTACTGGTGGCCTCTGGTATGCATTAATAAAGAGACCAACAAATGATATTAGCCATATCTGCCTTACTAAGGCCTACATATCAAGAGTTACATGAAGTTCTCTATCTTCACCCAAGTTTCTGTGATTCCAATACTATTTAATGTTTTTTGTGCACACAAGTACACATAAGTCATTTGTATTTACAACATAATTATGTGTAACATATATTGTAACATTTGTATTTATGTGTAACATATGCTACCACCCTGTATTTGCAACATAGTGATAGCATACAAATATGGACTTCACAGGTTGCACCGTGGAAGCTGCAAAGGCTGCCTTTCAAGACACAATGACAAAGGTAATGATATCATCAAGAGGAGCCTTGCCTCAGCTCAGTGCCCAGCAGAGAGAGCACCTAGCATCCTAACAGCCCAAATCCCGGATGATCCTGCACTTTGCCCAAGTGGCATCATAATATTCTCCTGGAAGAGGGACAATCAGCTGGTGTGGGACTACACATGCATCTGCCCTCGCTGACTCCTATATACACCTCGGTGATGATCATACGAGTGGTGCAGACAACCATAAGAAAACAGGAAATCAAACAAGTACAGGCAACTGGGGAGTCAGTTTGCCTTTATCCCCATAGCATCTGAGACGCTCAGCCCCAGCGGCAGAAGTGCCTTGAGCTTTCTTGAAGAATTGGGTTCCAGGCTTGTTGATATCACCAGAGGCCCACGAGCTGCGAATTTTCTGTTTCAGCGCCTCAGTGTGGTAATCCAGAGAGGAAACGAATGATGTGTCCTTAGTTCTTGTCCAGAGGCAGAGGAGCTCCAAAAGATCCAAAATTTTTAACCTTCCATTGTATTCACCAATATATAATAAATGTAACCCTTAAATTCCAAATAAAGCAAAACAAAACACAAAGGGAAGGGGGGGGGGGAACACAAAGGGAAGGGGGGGGGGAAAACACAAAGGGAAGGGGGGGGGGAAACACAAAGGGAAGGGGGGGGGAATAGGACAAAAGAACATGGAAACCGCAATGGAGGGATCCAAAAATCCCCTCTAATGTGTTCTTTCACCGAGGCTATGGGTCCCCTTCTTCCGGTCAATATCCCCTTATATATACATATATGTATATACAGCTAATCCTCCTGTTTTGGTAGTGCTTATAGGAAAGATGAGGTCTATAGTACATTTAACGATATACAACGCAATTAGAAAGTAGAAATCGGTATAATTGAATTTGACAAACCGGGAAACGATTTTCAACTGATGTTTCAAAGATAAACTAGATAACCATCCTAGGCCTAATACACGCTATCCGAGGCCTAATATAGTACATATGTGTGCTATACTAGGCCTAATAATATTTAAGTTAGTTTCTTAGCTTAATTTTTTCGGACGTATATAATATACAGGCTGCCTGTCCTTGACAAAATCTATTATTATTATTTCATAGTTTTACCTCAATATTTGTCTACTACTTACCCTGCTCTGTCATCATGTTTAGAACATAAGAACGGAGGAAACTGCAGCAGACAAGGCAGCTCCAATGTGTATGCACCTTGTATATGGACTGGAGACTCTCATTGTGTGACTGGCTCACACACACACACACTGTTGGAAGTACATAGAGTAAGAGTCTTACATACACAATATGAGACTCACTACAAGGGGCTCACATGTGCTGCAGGAGTCTCCAGGTACCGAGTGCTGACGATTTGTCGTGGAAGCCTAGGACCTGCTCCATCTGGCGCTGTGTCCTGCCAGAGGACGCCAGATAGGCCAGCAGGAGGCCGCCCCACACACTCTCAGGTGAGATCACCACGTTGCTCTCGGGGGAAGACCTCGCGTACACCTCCCTGAAGAGGTCCAGGGAGAAGCGGAGCCTGTCGGGGGCGTGGAGATCAGATGTCGAGGACAGGCCATCGTTGCCGCCGGCAATAATACACTCACTGCCTACTACCTCTCGTACGGTCACTATCATCACTATCACCACTATCATGGTGCTCGTCCACTTCACCTTCCTGCAACACAAACACCACATGAGTAACACCACCAAGTTACCTGCCATAAGTTATCACAATAAAAAACTCTCACAAAAATTTAAGCAAGCCATCTCAGGAGGCCTCCGTGCTGTTGCTGTCTCCACTCTTCTTCATTCAACACTCATAATTTTTTTTTAATAAATTCTTTATATTATAATGTGGACTACATTTAGTTTTAATATGTGACGCCCATATGTAAAACTAGCATGAAACAGCATTGATTAGTATAGGCTTATAAGCTGAAGCCTCAGTGAGAAAATCAGTAACAGCCGTGATGAGGACTCAAACCTATGATGTTGGTACGGTCGTTTAAGGTGTATGCTCGAAAGTACCCAGAGCATAGGTTCGAATCCTCCTCACAGCTCCTACTGATTTTCTCAGTGATATATTACTTTATTGTGATTTCGCTGTGCATTGATGCCTCAAATTGTATTTTCTGTCAGCAGCAGGAGTCTGAGTGGCTCCTGCTGATGGTGTTAAACAAATCGAAAAATGAATGTCACCATACCAGAGAAAGTATTTGCAAGGGTCTTAAAAGAATATGAAGATGAGCTTTGTCAACCGGTTGATTTGTTCAGATCTGAAACCTATATCTATGGGCAGCACAAAACGTCCACCAGACTGTGCGACACAGTGGTTGGAAGGATCAGGTTGGGTTACCGTTACCTGTGGCAGGTGGCTGCAGGTGACGGATCTCCCAATCCTGAGCACTCCAGGTTCAAACTCTGTGAGCAGGAACTGCGGCATGATCTCCCACACTACATCACCGAATGCCCAGTTATTAGACCTTTCAGACCAGTTGGCATAAGGTACCTGGAGCTTTGCAATTACTTTATTCACTCTCGTATTCTTGAGGATATCCTCATATTGCCCCCAAAATTTGACAGTGCAGGCTACTAAACATATGGCCCTGTATGACTAACCATCTTGCGAGATGGGGATTTTTTTACCACTGCTGCCTTATTCACTCTTGTGTTGATGATATCCTCAAAATGCACCCAGAGTCTGCCAGTGCAGACTGCCTTTCACATGCCTCTGTATGACTAACCATCCTGTGTGATGGGGATTTTTTAGCATCACGTAGTTAGCTTTTTTGACACACTGTACCTCCCTTCATATAGTCTAGGGTAGCTGCACAAATACAGATGTACCTCATGTATTAATAAAAAAAAAAGTCAACCCGTAGAGGTAAGTGCAGTCGCGTCACAGCCGTAAGGTCCCGGGTCCAGTTCCTGTAACATTCAACGAACGAGATTTGCAAGTTTTTGTTATTGTTTTATTTATATATATATATATATATATATATATATATATATATATATATATATATATGTATATATATATGAGTTCTTACATTATTGTAAAGCCACTAGCACTCACAGCGTTTCAGGACTTTCAAGTGGTCATTTATGTAGGGTATAGAGCTTAGGGAATGATAAACATTATCAGTTGCAAAGTGAACAAAGATGAAATTGTCAAATCATTGCGTAAACAAATTTGAGTCATATGTAGTTGGAATGTAAGCCCAAAACTAAAGTATAGATGTTATAAATATGGTGCATAGGATACTGGAATTCATATCAAGACGCATTAAATATTAAACTAAATATTACTGAAAATGGACATAAATTTCATTTTAGGCTTAAAGAACATTTTGGAACCTCTTGTATGAAGAAATATTAGGATAGGGTAAATTTTTATTTTCTATAAAGTTGAAGTAAAAGGCAGTACGGAACTGAAGATTACCGCGGGTTAAAGGACGCCACACAGCGGGTATTGGTAGGCTGCTGCACATATCAACGCAGCAGTATAGAACACGAGACAATCCATACATTTTGGATAGATCAGATTAAAAATTAAGATTTGGTTATATACTGGTTACTAAAGAAATGCAACTTCATCAGTATAATTTATGTTATCAACGTATAATGAATGAGGTAGTTATTATGTGAATTCAAATTCTGTTACAATCTGTCATTATATTTCTAAGGACCTGCCCGAAACGCTATGCATGTTAGTGACTTTGCAAGAATGTACCACTTAATTACTAATGTGTGTACTTTCGCAACCCATTGTACCTGCTTGTATATAAATAAATAAAAATATAATGCACAAGTTGCCATGAAACATAATAGACGAGAGGAAGCTGGATTGGTAGGCGTAGGTTACACAATACAGTTGGGTGAGATTTGTGTATATATATATATAGGAGCTGTCCAGTATTGATAAATAGGGCTTACGTAACTTTATCTATTATAATGTTCTTATTTTCTTTCTTGTTAGGAGAGTTGACTTATCTCTACGCCTATTTTCGTCGTTCTTTGCCGAGCTGTTTCCAGGGCGATTTTATTTTTCAGGTAATGTCTTGATGGAGGTTGAGGCTGCTGTGATGTGAGAAGCTATGTCCCAAATATAAAGGGATTTTCCCTTTTTCAAAACATACAAGCATTTGCAGGTCCTTTGGCAATTCGTGAAGATTTTATAGATCATTTTGCTTGGCTGCAATGTTGGTTGAAAATTGCTCCCGTCTCTAAGATCTTGGTATTTATCACACATTTCATGAAGTAGCTTAGGCTGCTCAAAACGCAATGCGTGTTCCTGGCTTTGCAAGAACGTAAAAACACCAATGTTATGAACTCTCTCACACCTTATGTCCTTCTTGTATATAAAATAAATAAATAAATAAATCATTTATGGCATCGTTTGAAGGGAGCCGGTCGGCCGAGCGGACAGCACGCTGGACTTGTGATCCAGTGGTCCTGGGTTCGATCCCAGGCGCCGGCGAGAAACAATGGGCAGAGTTTCTTTCACCCTATGCCCCTGTTACCTAGCAGTAAAATAGGTACCTGGGTGTTAGTCAGCTGTCACGGGCTGCTTCCTGGGGGTGGAGGCCTGGTCGAGGACCGGGCCGCGGGGACACTAAAGCCCAGAAATCATCTCAAGATTGGTAAATGTTCAAAATACGTTTGGCGATTAAATGATTCCTGCCCGAGTCATTCCGCTGACAAGGTTTACCCAGTTTGGAGGTTCGCCGTACTGAATTACACACTTTTTATTTAACCATTCCAATATTTTATGTGCGTTTCTGAATGCTAGTTCCTGGGCCCCGTCTCCAGTGTGAGGCATCCTCTAAGATCCTAAGAGAAGTCCATCATGTACACTGTGTTAACTACTTCCTGTATGTAGATGTTACTGATGTGGGTGATAAAACTGGGTGATAAAACCCCGACTATCACCCTGATAGTCTGGGTTTTATTATGTCAACACCTGTTCAGATGTTATCCAGGCTTATTGCCAACACTGATGTTGAGATGTTCGTGCAATATGTCAACAATGACGTTGTTCGTGCATTATTATTTGATAATAATTCATTGTGTCGGAGGACAGGAAGCCAGTGTATATTCAGACACGTTAGGCTTATATCGACGCACCCTCCCCCCCCACCAAGGTCGAATTACTGACCCCGCCCAGGAAGCAACCCACAGAAAGCTGACTAACGCCTGTGGTACCTAATTACTGCTAGGTGAACACTTCCATTAGTGAAAGGAAACATGCCCAACCATTTCTGTCCCGCCCGAGATTCGAACCCGGAATTCTCGATTGTGCGTCGCGAACAAACCCGACTGTACTACCAGGACCCTCTCACATTATGTCAACACTGAAGTTGTGGTGGTTATCTTGAGGTTATCTTGAGGTTATAGGGAGCGGGTTATCTTGAGGTTATAGGGAGCGGGTTATCTTGAGGTTATAGGGAGCGGGTTATCTTGAGATGATTTCGGGGCTTTAGTGTCCCCGCGGCCCGGTCCTCGACCAGGCCTCCACCCCCAGGAAGCAGCCCGTGACAGCTGACTAACACCCAGGTACCTATTTTACTGCTAGGTAACAGGGGCATAGGGTGAAAGAAACTCTGCCCATTGTTTCTCGCCGGCGCCTGGGATCGAACCCAGGACCACAGGATCACAAGTCCCGCGTGCTGTCCGCTCGGCCGACCGGCTGGTGAGGACTAAATAAACACACCAGCAGATGAGACGACATTTCGGTCTGTCTTGACCATTACCAAGTCGACAGTCGACTTGATAATGGTCCAGGGCGGACCGAAACGTCGTCGCCTCTTCATCTTCTGATAGTTCTCACATCTTCACGTAGCCTCGTTATTGTGACTCATTGTCTGCACGTTGAGATGTTGACCAGGCTTAATTATGTCAACACTGACGTTGGTCAGATGTTCTCTAGGCTTAATTATGTCAACACTGACGTTGGTCAGATGTTCTCTAGGCTTAATTATGTCAACACTGACGTTGGTCAGATGTTCTCTAGGCTTAATTATGTCAACACTGACGTTGGTCAGATGTTCTCTAGGCTTAATTATGTCAATTCCGGATGTTCAGATGTTGTCCAAGCTTTATTATGTCAACAATGATGTTGTCCGGGATTTATGTCAACAATGATGTTGTCCGGGATTTATGTCAACAATGATGTCCGGGATTTATGTCAATAATAATGATGTTGTCCGGGATTTGTTACATCCACACTATATTGCCTTGCTTTATTAAGGCAACATTGATGTTCAGACGTTGTCCGGGCTTAATTATGTCAGTACAGTTGAGATGTTGTCCAAGCTTGAACTTCACTACAGCTTTATAAGCTTGACGTAGACAATAGCGTTAAAAGTGCATCAAATGGAGAGAGAGAGAGAGAGAGAGAGAGAGAGAGAGAGAGAGAGAGAGAGAGAGAGAGAGAGAGAGAGAGAGAGAGAGAGAGAGAGAGAGAGTAGGTCAAGGTAGGACTCATCATGAGGAGAGAGAGTGCTCACAACAATGGTCTGCAACCCTGGCAAGGGTCTGAGTACGGTGTGAAGGTACGGTGACCAGCCTCTTGGACCAGTAGGGTCTATACATTGGTCACTAACAACTACGGTGCAGCCTAACAACCAATACATTGGTCACTAACAACTACGGTGCAGCCTAACAACCAATACA